TTCATTGCACCGAGTCAGGATTGCTCGCGCTGTTTTATGTTATATTCAGTTTGTTTTACGAGGGAGGAAGTCTTATTTTTCCGCCCTTTTTCTACTTTAATAGCGACGAGGTGTTCACACTGCGTTTAAACTGTACCGGAATATTATTATTAAAGTGAAAACGTTCTTTAGAACCGTTGTGATTTGAAACACGATGAAAAGAAAAAGCGACACTACAAAGAGACAAACATATAGTATTTTTTTTATAGGATAAGGGTGACAAACAAGCACACAGTCCACCTGATGGTAAGTGGTTGCTGCGGCCCATAGACATCTACATTAATCCTCGTTTGCGAATCAAAATGCAGATGCGTTGTCACCCGTGAGGACTAAGATGGAATGCCTCATTTCCAGTAAAAAGGGCCTCCGGCCACCTGCACTCACCAAGCGAAACGCAGAGGTAAACCTTTACTTCACGCTGGTATTCTGTGAGGTCGTGGTACCACCCCGGTTCGAGCCGGCCCATCCGAGCGACAGCAAAAGCTGCCGCGTGGCTCTACCACTGTTAATTATATATATTAGCAAAGTCTATCAATAAACAAACATATCAATATTTGTATATTGATAGACTTTGCTAATGTTAAATGAAAACTAACAAACTAACACTTTAAATTTTACACACCGAATATCGGTAAGACTTGTTGATACTAATAACACTAACGCCAAGAATATATCTCTGCCCATGCAATGTATATCTCACACATGTTTTAGTAAATGATATATCTTATCATATTTTATCTTAGAGTACATATATAGGGTTTAGTCTGCGAGAAAGAGACAGAATACAATACAGTGTTTAATAGAATCAGACGTTACTTTGCGGAAGTCCATTATATTAAAGTTGGTAAAAATTACTTCGCGTACATCCGCTCGATAAAATAAAATGATGTGTCTTACCTAGTTTGAAGAGCACCTCTCGCCCTACCTCAATTGCGTGCACCATCACCGTCACCACTAATCCCAGCACCTCTTAGGATCTTTTCTTGAAGGTCCCTAAGTCGTATCGGTCCGGAAAAATCGCTGGTGGTAAACTATTCCACAAGGAAATTGTGCGAGGAAGAAAACATCTTCTAAATCGCACAGTGGTGGACCGCCAATCAACCAGATGGTGCGGATGGTATCGGGAGTTTTGCCGCGATGTGCGTTCGTGAAATTTGGTGGCTGGGATTAATCCGAACAATTTCTCAGAGCACTCCCCGTGGTAAATGCGAAAGAAAATGCAAAAAGATGAAACATCTCTTCGCAGTGCCAATAAATGGAGCCGATCGGAAAGGACTCGGTCGTCGACGATTCGAGCCGCTCTGCGCTGGATGCGGTCAAGTGGAAGGAGCTGGCACTGGGGAGCCCCAGCCCAGAGATGGGAACAGTATTCCATGTGAGGCCGAACCTGCGCCTTGTAAAGTTGCATGCGTTGAGCTGGCATGAAATACTGTCCCGCTCTGCTGAGCACGCTAAGCTTTTTAGAGGCCAATTTGGCCTTCTCTTCCAAGTGACCATGAAACTGCACGTCACTCGATATGTCGACGCCGAGGATTCCAATACTGGCTGAGGCAACAAGGGGAGTACCTTGAAACTGAGGAGATACGACAAAGGGGTTCTTTTTAGCGGTAAACGCGCAAACTTGTGTCGTCTGAGGATTAAACTGGACTAGATTTAGTCGCCCCCAATCCGAGACTTTGTCCAGCAAAGACTGGACTTCAGACACAAGTTTGTTCCGGCAAGTATTGCACTGTAAGTTAGTAATTTTGTTTATTTTTCACTACTTAGTTAGAGCCAGTTTTATTATGATTACAGCAGGAATGGGTCGGCTCAAATGGGAAATTACCTCGCTTTCATAGACCACCGGCGTGGACAGAAAACTGCCCATCAAAATTACCTCCCCCATATTTATTGTTTCATGAGTCGGATATTTGCCATAATTGCCACACGTGGCAGACGTTTCTTTCCCTCTGTTTCATTTACGACACCCACGGGACGATATGCGGTATTGGATATTCTTACATCAACACTACACGCAAGGTATACGTTACACTTAATTCTCATACAATCTCCATAGAAATATTTGTTTTGACAGTTTTCTAAAAGTATACCTATCATTTAGCTAGTGTCAAATACTATTTTTTTTTACTTGCGCCATTCCACTTGCCTGTTTGAATGTAGCATTCATCTTAAAATATCTACTTTTGAAGCGGTGACTAATTAAAAAACTCCCTACTCGAAAAGGTTTTAGATGTTTTTTTTCCCAGTTTCATCCCCCTAAGGTGTACGGTGATACGAAAAAAAACTTAGCGCAGGTGATTTTAATTGTTTGCGAAACAAAGAAAAGTTATTTTTTAGCAACTAACTCAAAGTCAAGAAATTATTTCGTTTATAAAGCCTATATTGTTTATGTAGTAGGTAAAATTATTTTTTGTTAAGAATGTTACGTCATTGTAGGATTTTCTCCTGTATCGTGGAGGCAGTTTACAAACACAAATTGCACAAGGACAAACATCCAGACCAGGAACAATTATTTGTAGGCCATACAAATACTTGCTCCGTGCGGGATTCGAACCCGCTGCCTCAGCGTTGAAACTAATTGATAAGCTACTAAGCTACAGAGCCGTTACACAATATTAAAGACAATAATTCGAATATCTGGTGAAATACCATGTTCGATAGAATGCACTTCAAGCAAGCACCTTATGGTGCATGTTTTAAAACAAAAACAAATATATTTTGTGGTCATGTTTCTCCAACACACATTGGGACGTAATTAAGCTACCTAACTATACTTTTTAACCGACTTCATAAATAAGGAGGTTCTCAATTCGAGTGTATGTTTTTTTTGTATGTATGTTACGCGATATCTTCGCAGATTGTGAAACAATTTTTTTATTAAATAGATTACCTTTAACTCAAGGGTGGTTATATATACCTATTTGGAAAAAATCCAGCTCTTAGAGTAGCAAATAACTTCTTTTTAGCAATTTGAAGTTGGTTTTTACTATTTGTTAAAAGTTGTAAATAATTACAAGGTACTTGAAGTTCTTCAGAGGCTCTTTAATTCCGTCTTCCATGGTGGCACTATGCCGGAGGCGTGGAGCAGCTGTGCGGTAGTCTTGTTCTTCAAGATAGGCGACAATGCTTTCTTGAAGAACTACTAATAGCTAGTAATAATACTAGCTGCTCCCCGCGACTTCGCCCGTGTGTAATTAAGGTTTTTAATTTTTTAGCGCGGAACTCTAATTCTTTTTCTTAAATAAAAGTAGTCTAAGTTACTCCTTATAAAATTAGCTGTCGGCCAGTGAAAGTCCCGTCAAAATCGGTCCAGCCGTTTCGGAGATTAGCCGGAACAAACAGACAGACAGACAGACAGACAAAAATTTTAAAAATTGTGTTTTTGTTATAAGTACCGTATATACTTTCATATGCAATTAGTAAAAAGCTGTAATTATGACATTACAAACAGACACTTCAATTTTATTTATTTGTATAGATAGAAAATAAGGGTGACCAACGAGCACAGATGGTAAGTGGTTGTTGTGGCTCTTGGAGATCTTCATCTATCTTCGAATAATTAATGTATTGTCATCCCTGACGACTAAGATGAAATACCTCGTTTCTAGCATTAAAGACACAGCAGTATTAAGCAGTTATTTTACACTGGTATTCTGTGAGAGCGCGGTCCTTCACCGGTCGAGCAAATATATTATATAGCTGCAGGATGGCTCTACCACGGCGGGATAAATAAAATCAAATTATTAGTTCTGTTACTGGATTAGTCAATTTCTTGATATTACGTAAACTATTATTTAATCTGTGCTAATATTTAAAAAAAAAGTTGTAGATATTTGTTCTCATATACTTTTATCTGTTGCCTTTTGTCTCTTTTAACTGCATAAGCAATTACATTGGCTTGTTTTTTACAATAGGTATATTTTGCACAAACAGTGCATCATAAATACAAATGGTAAAATCAAAAAAATTGAACAGCCGATTTCAATAAAACGAGAACATCATCAATGTAGTTAAAGTCAATTAAATACGCATTATTAAGGATAACTTAAAAACTACTGGTCAGATCTTGATCAAATTCATATGGAACCACATGAGAAGTACCAGCTCTCAAATAAAAAAAAGACTCATCAAAATCGATTCACCTACAAAAATGTTCTGACGTAACGCACATAAAAAATACAGTCGAATTGGTAACTTCCGCCTTTTTTTGAAGTCGGTCGATAAAAAGTATTTTTCTGGTGTATCTAAAGTTAAAGACTTAAAGTTATACCTTATTATTGTGTAAATGCTATCAAGCTATCGGTAAGTAAGCAAGTGTGAGCACAGCTTCCCCAAGTTATGAGTAGGGCAGACAAATGAGCACACAGCCAACCGGATAGTAAGTGGATGCTGTGGCCTGTAGTAACTTACATCTGTTCTCGATTAATAATCAGAATGTAGTTGCGTTGTCACTTCTAAGGATTATAGTATAAAGAATGCCTCGTTTCCAGTAAAAGGGTGTCCGATTCTCTACATTGACCATACGAAACACAGCAGCATTATGTTGCAATTTCACGTTGGTATTTTTTGAGAGCGTGGTCTTTCCACGCTCGGGCCGTGTGTTGAAATATTAATATATAGGTAGTTGCCGCGTGGCTCTACCAATGTAATGAGGTATACGTTTAGTAATGGACTTGAAGAGTGGAGGGAGTAAATTCAATAATAAGTATAATGTAAATAGATTTTATTTTATTTTTATTTATTTATTACAAGATCCACAGCACTAATTACAATGTAAACGAACTTAAGAAATAAACTTACAGCCAATAACGCATCTACTTTATACATTTTTTAATGTATACGGACAATCAATAAGTTTGAGCCACAAAAAGAGACTATTTTAGAATTAACAATTAAAAACGGTGCGTTTCTCTTTCTCTCTGATCTGTGTGTCCGTGTACGCGCTCGCGTATGTGTGTGAGTGTGTGTGTGTGTGTATGTGTGTGTGTGTGTGTGTGTGTGTGTGTGTGTGTGTGTGTGTGTGTGTGGGCGTGTGTGTGTGTGGGTGCGTGCGTGTGTGCGTGTACGTGTGTGCCTGTGCGTGCGTACGTGCATGCGTGTGTGTGCGTGTGTGTGCGTGTGTGTGTGCGGATTATAATTATATGTGCATCAATTATTCATCAAAGTGTGAATGACACAAATATTTTAAAAGAAAAATATACATACAGTCTTTCATAATTTTTTAATCAAGTTCCTTTTAAAATTTTTTAGTTTTCTACTAACTTCAAAAAGGAGACGGTATTTAATTCGACTGTATGTTTTTTTAATGTGTGTTACCTCATAACTTTTTTCTAGGTGAACCAATTTCGATGTATTCTTTTTGAGTTATTCTTAATAATTTATATTGAAGTCGGTTGTACAAAATTTTTAATTTTAAACTATTGAAATTTTGTATTAGGAGTTAACGCTTTTATTTTTTTTATATTTTTTCCAGCGGGGTAGCGTGGGATTGCTGTCGCGCGGGAACACTAGATCACAAAAGTATTCTGTAGCAATAATTATCGAAGCTGATTTCAGATATTTTGTATTTTTATCTCTCGTCGTTTAAATTATTCCTAAAATACTTCTCCCCTAAAATCTGTTGCTTAGGTCTTGTTGCCCCCTGGCCCATCCCCACTGGACTGACACTGATTTTTCTAATAAGAACAAGAACATTAAATTATTTATAGATATAGGTAGATTGAATGTCACTACAATTTAGTTGTCAAAAAAGTTTGTGTCAATTGAGACAAATTAATTAACTTCGTGTTAGTTGGACTTGCGTTAGATATTTAATGTTAATATTAAGACAGAAACAAGCGAAAATAAATTTTAAACATCTACTGATTGATAAAAGCTTTTTTTCTAGATATGCTAGAAGTTCTCTATCGCTAAAAGTGAAGCCGTAGTTGTAAAAATTAAATTGTTATAATATTTGGTCTATTTTCTTTATATTTATTTTTATTTGTTTGAAATAAAAAGATTTAGCGCTGTACTTTTTACTGTTTGAAATCCAAAAAAGATGGGATTTAAGATGAATATTATGTGTGCGTGAGTGCGTTGTTCTTACAATTAGTTGAGCACGGTTTTGTGGTTTTGACGTCAGTTGAAATGTACGAGTAGATACGCAACGCTCCGTCTATCGTTATTGGCCTGAGGCTTGGATAAGAATAAAAATTAAAGATATAATGATTTTATTTTAACTATGTTCGTTAAATAAATTATTTATGTCAATTAAACAGACATTTTATGTTTCTATAATTTTCCAAGTTGGAAAAAGGAAAATATGTTTATATGGAGAAAAATTAAACTGACACTTTATATGCATTCTATAACTTTTGATATAAATAGGTAAGTACCTACCAAATTGAAAAAAGGGAAAATATCTCTATCAGTGGTAGAGCCACGCGGCAGCTTTTGCTGTCGCATGGATGGGCTGGCTCGAACCGGGGTGGTACCACGACCTCACAGAAAACCAGCGTGAAGTAGAGGTTTACCTCTGCGTTTCGCTTGGTGAGTGCAGGTGGCCGGAGGCCCTTTTTACTGGGAATGAGGCATTCCATCTTGGTCCTCACGGGTGACAACGCATCTACATTTTGATTTGTAACAGAGGATAGATGTAGAAGTCTATGGGCCGCAGCATCCACTTACCATCAGGTGGACTGTGTGCTCGTTTGTCACCCTTATCCTATAAAAAAAAACAATGAAATAAAAATATTAAATTGATATTCTATCTAATAATGCATTCTATAATTTTTGAACAAGTAGGTATCTACCATATTGGAAAAAGGAAAATGTTTTAATATTATTATTTTAACGGCTCCATGGCGCAGTGGTTCAGCAATGAGTTGCAGCACTGTGGACCGCCCGTTCGAATCCCGCACGGAACAAGTATCTATCTATTTGTATGGCTTACAAATAAGTGTGCCGGGTCCGGGTGTTTTTCCTTGTCCAATTTACGTTTGTAAACTGCCTCCACGATACAGGAGAAAATGTAAAGGATAAAAAACCTAGTGTGAGGTTTTAAAAATATATATATCTAGGTTTGTATATTTTATAACTAGGTACCATATTGTCCCGTGGTTGACATAAGACGTGGCAAAGGGAAACTGTAACAGGAAATGGGCAGCAACATCTTCCTGATAACAAACAAAAATAATAAAAATACTGCGGTTAACAACCCGTCTGGCAAACGTGGTTACTCTGGCAAAATTCCCCCTGTATCGCAATATATGGAGAAGGACTATTTTAGAAGGGGATATTTGCTAGGCTGTGTAGATATTTGTGTGCTGAATGATTAGTAAGTTAATTAACACAAGATCTAAATCCTTTAAAAATCTTTTGTGACGTCTTACGCTGTTAAAGTTAAAGTTAAAGTTACAGTCTACATACGTCCCACTGCTGGGCACAGGCCTCCTCTCATTTCAGAGAGGGTTTAAGGGCAAGGAAGTATCCGCCGTGCTGCCCCAATGCGTGATGGCGAATTTCACGTCTTCGAATTTTTTTTCTTATTTCTTAGACATGCAGGTTTCCTCAGGATGTTTGCCTTCACCGCCGAGCACGTGGTAAATCAGCACTTTTTAATTGCAATTAACAAATTCATTGGTGCCGGCGGGGATCGAACCCTTGCGTAGGTACTATGTAATTTACAGCGAGCGCTAACCATCTGAGCTACCACGGCTCTTATGCTGTTATATCTACGAAATACTAAAATTATGTTTTAGTATTTCGTAAATTCAGCTTTCTCTGGCTTTAGCAAAAATAATTTGCAACATCTATTTATTAATATAACTGTAAAATACAACTTATTTACTTATAATGCAAAGTTTAATTTATTTTTATAGCTTGCAGCTCATTGAGTTATATGTACTACGTACTAGAGAAGCCATTCCAAACAAAAATTGTGTCCTACTCTATGTCTTCGCGCATGCGCGGGAGTAGTAGTCGCGCATACGCGAAGACTTTAATTTGATATAAAATAAGATATTAATATAAAATAAATATAAGAATTTAATATAAAATATCTTAATTTAATCTAAACAAACATATTTCTAAATAAAATGTAATAATAATTATTTTATGGAATTCACAAATCTTCAATTTACGCAATATTTAGTTTGTATGGATTGCACTACAGTTCAGTTGAACATAGTCAATGTTCGGAATGGCTTCTCTAGTACGTAGTACATATAACTCAATGTTGCAGCTCATTAAAATTAATGAACCTATCAAAATATTCAAAAATCATAAGGACAGCTGAGGGACTTCTGCACAATGACGAAATGACAACTTCACCTTTATTTAAATCATGAACAAACAAACAGACATTACAATATAATAAACTGTCGAACAGAAAATAAAAGCACGGCGGCGGAGAAATTTCAACGTATAAATAAATAGGTAGAGAAAAAAGTATAGCGCTCCGCCCAGGCGTAGGCAGGAGGCCACGCCTTTTGGTAGAGGGGGTGACCAGTCTTATTCGCCAGTCGGTAGAGGCATTCGCGGATCGCGTACGACATTTCAGTGATCATTACGACAGTTTTCATAAAAAAAATCTAACAAATTTCTGCGTAAATAACCTCAAATCGGAAAAGACGCGCCAATTTTGATAGTTTTTCATTTTAAATTTGAAGGCAAAGGACGCGAGACTCGTTCGGTTCTGTGACAGTGTGAGTGTTAGGATGAATGTAATGTTGTTGTTGTAAAATTAATGTTTCGTATAATGGCGGATTGTTGTGGGATAAACAACAGCCTGATTTAGAAAGGTAGGGGATCTACATTGATATATTAACATCATATTTTTAATATATAATAAACTGCCAGTATTAATGCATCGATTCTCAACATTTAACAATAAATAAATTTATATTTCAAATATTAAATATTGTAAACCTTGTAGGTACTAACTAAAGTAAGTTACCCGTCGTTCTAGAATAATGACATATTCTTTGTAATTTTTAACGAAAATGCCATTATTAATAAATTTAATTGCAAAAAATGTGTGAAATATGTTAAAATGCTTGCAATATATACAATAATTATTATAATATAAACACAATTGTTTATTTCGTTAATAATACAAGGTTATCCATCTAAATAATTTAAATATCCAACTCATTTTGTTAGATAATATCTAAGCTTTGAAAAAATAATGTGAGAAAAATAAATATTTATTAGTCGATATAAAATTGTAGCTGACATTTTTTCATCAAAGGTCAAAGACCACGGTTTCCGACTTTACTTTATCGAAAAAAAAAACCTGTTTGCTTGATGTTGAAGCGTTAAATGATTATGTTAAAAGCTCAATAAAAATAAGCAACAGAGTGTTTAGATATTTGAATGTTTATCACGATAGGTGATAAATTATATAGTTTTCGATTTCGCGTACGCATACGAAACAATTCGTTTTCGGATTTTAATTATAACATTGATTTATTTGTATACATTTATCATCATCATCTCAACAACCATTTGTGAAGTCAAGTCCACTGCTGAACTTTGGTCTCGTTCCCCCAAGCAATGCCACAAAACACGGTCCTGAGCCACCAGCATCAATAGACTTCTTTTTATATTATAATTTATATTTAAACTAGCTGGCCAGGCAGACGTTATTCTGCCCTTTCCGAAGACCCTTCCTACAAAAAAATTCTTAAATTCGCAATAAAAATATATTGAGGGTCACTTATCGGGTAAAAAACTATCTTATCTCTGAAGTTGGACCCAACTGCACACAGTGTGCAAAATTTCATTGAAATCAGTTCAGTAGTTTAAAAGTTCATAGCGGACAAACAACGTGACACGTAATTTTTATATATAAAGATAAATAACAAAATTGTAATTACTTATTAAAATATAAACGCCAACCTATTTAAAAGAAAAAAAATAATTTTCATTTGTAATTAATAATAATTTGTTTTAAAATAAGTTGCAAATAAAAAAATACTACACTTTGTTGAATTTTCTTAATCTATTTTAAAAACATTACCACACCTATCTACATGTTACACCTCTACTAAGTTTTGTAAACCATATTAAAGCCTTACTAATTAGGTAGGTACTTGTCCCGTGCGGGAATCGAATCCATTACCTACAACGCCACAGTCAAATGCTTAGCCAGCGACCTATAAATCATCAAAGACAATCTTGCATATTGGGA